GTAGGGGCAGGCTGAAAACAGGGGAATTTTTAAGGCTTAACCAACCCCACATTAAAACAGAAAATTAGTGTCTCCCCAAACACTTACTTCCCACGCTGCAGTTCAGTACTTACACTGAACCTGACCCAGTTAGTCCTGCTCATGCAGGCTGTTTACTGGGTCCTTCAAATGAAGAGAGGCTGAACTTCATTTGGAACGAACCCACGACAAACGCAGGAAGGTGAGCCATAAAACAAATTGTAAAAAGTCCTGTAGAACCTGCTAAGGACAGGAAAAAAGACTGAGGTGTAAGGGGAGGAGGGACTCTTTATACCTATCAGTCTGATTAATTAATCTAATTAATTCCTGTCCTGTAACTTCTAAGGGAGGAGCTACCCATAAGTGATGCTGCCATGATTAGCCAGGAAAGGAGTAATGCATAAAAAAAAATGTATTACTAAAACCATGTATATCTTAAACTGTATGTCCACTCTCCCTTCTTCTTACCTTTTCCCCAGGGAGAGATGACATTACCCTGGTGGTCCTGTGGAGGTGAGCAGCTCTATCTTAAAAATAATCCCAGGGCACACCAAGGTTTTGCACATAAAAAAAAAAAAAAAAGAGTATTTATTCATGCATAGAAAATACAACAGAATATCTTTTTAACAGAGAGAGAGAATATTAAATGTATACTTACTAATGCAAGGAGCCTAAATAACAAAATGGGGGAAATAGAGGCATTAGCATACACTAAACAATACGATATAATAGGCATAACTGAAACATGGTGGGATGAGACACATGACTGGGCAGCTAACTTAAATGGGTACACGTTATTTAGGAAGGATAGGAAAAACAAGAAGGGTGGTGGGGTATGTTTGTATGTCAAACATGATTTAAAGCCAAATGTTAAGCAAATGGAATGCGAGGAGGATAATGTGGAAGCTTTATGGGTAAATATCTGCTTGGGGAAAAGAAGGGAAACCAACTATTGGTTGGGATATGTTATAAACCACCTAATGTTAATATTGACGAGGAACAACAGCTGTTTGAGCAAATTGAGAAAGCTGCAAATCTGGGTAACACTTTAATTATTGGAGATTTTAATTACCCGGATATAAATTGGGACAGAGGGACTAGTGCCTCAGCAAAGGGAATTAGGTTTTTAAACTTGTTAAATGACACCTTCATGTCACAACTTGTGCAAGCACCAACTAGAATGGATGCTTGTCTGGACCTGGTTTTAACAAACAACGTTGATCTTTTGACCAACATTCAAGTAGGTGAGCACTTGGGAAATAGTGATCACAATATAGTGTCCTTTGAAATAAACTCAAAAAAACAAAAGCACATGGGGAATACTGTGACGAGACCAATCTCGCCACATTGCATTGGAGAAGCCTGGTTGCTCGCCTGCTGCCTTTGGACTATGGCCCCCTTTTTAAAGACTTTATTTTTGCCTGCAGAAAAGCTGTATTCGTGCTTTTCTGCCTGGGGTTCAGTAGATTTGTTTGAATGTGTTATACCCCAGATAGGAATCCCATGGAGCCCATTCGTATGAAACTGACTGTAAAGACTTTGGCTCCATGGCGATTAAACTGTATTTGTGTGGCCCGAGCGCCATTCACTTAATAATGTGCGCTCAGACCTGAGCTATCTGGGGATATGTGAAATGTCTGTGTGTTATGTGTAAAATGTAACTTTATGTATTTTAAAGTGTTTTTTGCAACCATGTGCTTAATGGAGTCTTGTGTCTGTCCTGGGAATGGTGAATTACCTTATCTCCAGGATAGAAGACTCTGAAACTGGTTTGCAGACCCAGAAAGCCATGCTTCATTTAGTCACAAGGACTTTTACTAACTTTTTGAACCCCTAGTCTGATTCAATACCCATTTTATATGTTGTTCCCCTGAATGGATTGATTGTGAATATACTTATTTTATGTGAATATGTGATGTATGGTTTTAGAGTTATGAAAGTTGCGGGTGAAAGTATGTTTTAACTGTATATAATTGAGTTTCCTCTCAGGATAAGGGGAGGGAATATGTGGGATATAACTGATATGTGATTGGTTGTTTTATACCTCCCTGTGGGCGGTCCTGTATTTGAAAAGACTGTAATAAAAAACAGGCTGGGTGTGCCAGCACCTCAGGCCACTGCTTGACCCTCAACACAGAGCCTTGTCTCGTTCTTGGGGGGATTCACTGTATGCTGTTAGAGACTGATTGCCAGGAGTGTAAGCTGATTGTCTGCTTTTCCTGTTCGTCTGCTAGCAGCTATTTGGGAGGTTCCAGTTCGGGAGTTGGAGTGCTATTTTGTATCCAGTTCGTGAGTTTTGGTGTTCTGCAGTAGCTGTGCTCTGATTCTGAAAGGGGCCGATCAGCCTAAACGTTTTTTACCCCCTTTGTGTGCAAACGTAACTGCTACAAATACCAAAACATATAATTTTAAAAAGGCCAATTTTAAGTTATGGAAGCTTTAGCAATATTGACTGGAGTATAAACTCTCTAGTGAAAAAGAACACTATGGATAAATGGATCATCTTCCAACAATACAAGTATATTTCAGTATGTAACTGGGAAATAAATATAAAAGAAACAAATTAAAACCAATGTGGCTTAGTAGAGAAGTAAGTAAAACAAGAGATTACAACTAAGAGAAGGGTACTTGTAGCATTTAAATCGGATTAGGAATCAGATTTATCTTATAAAAGATATAAGGATGCAAATAATGCGTAAAAAAGGCAATTAGACTTGCTAAAACTTCAAGCAAAAATGAAATAATGATAGCTGAAGAGAGCAAACCCAACCCCCAAAGCATTTTAAGTACATAAATTCTAAAAAAAAAAAATGAAAGTGTAGGTAAAAACTGAAACTGGGAACTGGGGTGTTAGTTAATGAAGACCAGGAAAAGGCAGGAATCTTAAATAACTATTTCTCCTCCGTATATATATATATATATATATATATATATATATATATATATATTAAGGATGAACCCATGGCAATAGATGTGCAAATGATTGCTACTAAAAACTTGCAGAATAATTGTAATTGGTTAACTCAAGACAAGGTGCTGCAGCAACTAAAGAAAGTTAATATAAACAAAGCTCCAGGGCCTGACGGTATCCATCCACGTGTACTTAAGGAACTAAGTGCAGAAATAAGTGAACCTCTGTTTTTAATCTTTCAAGATTCTTTTCTTTCAGGAAGTGTTCCGGAGGATTGGAGGAAGGCAGATGTGGTTCCTATATTCAAAAAGGGTTCAAAATCCTTGCCTGGAAATTATAGACCTGTGAGCTTAACTTCTGTGGCTGGTAAAATATTTGAAAGGTTATTAAGGGATAATATTCAAGAATTCCTTGAGAAGAACATGGTTATCAGCAAAAATCAGCATGGTTTTATGAAGCACAGGTCATGTCAAACTAACTTGATTGCGTTCTACGAAGAAGTAAGTAGAAGTATAGATCAGGGTGTTGCCGTGGATGTGATCTATTTGGATTTTGCCAAGGCATTTGATACAGTTCCACACAATAGATTAGTGTTCAAACTCAAGGAAATCGGTCTAGATGAAAATGCTTGTTCTTGGGTAGAACATTGGCTTAAAAACAGAGTACAAAGAGTTGTCATTAATGGTAAATTTTCAAGCTGGACAGAGGTGGCAAGTGGTGTCCCTCAGGGTCTGTTCTGGGACCCCTTCTATTTAACATGTTTATAAATGATCTTGAAGACCGCATTGAAAGTCATGGTTTCCGTGTTGCAGATGACACCAAACTTTGTAAAATTATACAATGTAGCAAGATATTACTTGCTGCAGAGGGATTTAGAGACTGGGGGACTGGACACTCAAATGGCAGATGAAATTTAATGTTGAAAAATGCAAAGTTATGCACTTCGGCGTAAAGAATACACAAGCAACGTATACCCTTAATGGAAGCGAATTAGGGATAACAACACATGAAAAGGACTTGGGAATTGTTATAGACAACAAACTATGCAACAATGTGCAATGTCAATCAGCAGTGGCCAAGGCCAGTAAGGTATTGTCATGCATGAAAAAGGGCATTCATTCTCGGGACAAGAATATAATTTTGCCTCTTTATAAATCACTGGTAAGACCCCATATTGAATATGCTGTGCAATTTTGGGCACCTGTTCTAAAGAAGGATATTATGGCACTAGAAAAAGTGCAGAGGCGGGCTACAAAATTAATAAAAGGAATGGAACATATCGGCTATGAAGAAAGGTTAACAAATTTAAACCTATTTAGTTTAGAAAAACGTCGCCTGAGAGGGGATATGATAACATTATACAAATATATTCGTGGCCAATACAAACCATTGTGTGGAAATCTATTCACAAACCAGACTTTACATAGGACACGAGGCCATGAGTTTAGACTGGAAGAAAGAAGATTTCGTCTAAGGCAAAGGAAAGGTTTTTTACTGTAAGAACAATCAGAATGTGGAATTCTCTGCCTGAGGAAGTGGTTTTATCAGAGTCCATACAGATGTTCAAACGGCTACTAGATGCATACTTGCAAGAACAGAATATTCAAGGATATAATCTTTCAATGTAGGGTAATAACTGCTTGATCCAAGGATAAATCTGACTGCCATTCTGGGGTCAAGAAGGAATTTTTTTCCTAGCTTGTTGCAAAATTGTGCTTCAAACTGGGTTTTTTTGCCTTCTTTTGGATCAACAGCAAAAAACAAATGTGAGGTAGGCTGAACTTGATGGACGCAAGTCTCTTTTCAGCTATGTAACTATGTAACTATGTAACTATGTAAAGTGCATAGTATAGTGCTAAACCAGTATATAGTACCAAAACCACAGGATAAGCAAAGTGTTAAATGCAAAAACCAATTAAAAAAATTATCCATTATCCAAATCATTTCACATACCCCCTGGGGAATTGTACCCATGGGGGTATGCATACCACAGGTTGGGAACCCCTGATGTAGGGTGATAGCTGCTTGATCCAAGGATAAATTTGACTGCCATTCTGGGGTCAAGATGGAATTTTTTTCCTAGCTTGTTGCAAAATTGGAAGTGCTTCAAACTGGGGTTTTTTTTGCCTTCTTTTGGATCAACAGCAAAAAACAAATGAGAGGAAGGCTGAACTTGATGAACGCAAGTCTCTTTTCAGCTATGTTACTATCGCCAAAAAACTGTCAGTAAAAATTCACACTTAGAAAGCTGAAATAGTGATGTTTCTTATCTGGCACTGGAGCTTTGCAATATAGTGGCTATGACATACATTTAGCTACATATAATTTGGAGGGTTTGTTACAGTGGCTCTCCTCAGATTTATAATACGCAGCAAAACTGCAACATGTAAGTAAAAAAGCAAAACTGAAAAAATGGCAGCATTGGTAGGGTACAATATATACCATATGAGATACCCTGTAGTAGCGACGTTCACAAATAAAGGTCTTCATGACTTAATTTGAATAGTCAAACTGCTTCAATTCCCCAAATTAAGGTGCATCCCCGTCAAATGCATCTATGAAAATCTTAAGTGTAAAAACTGAAATGTTTAGGTCTCTGATACAGCACTGTAGTTTCACAGGATAATGGCAAAGGCATACATTGTGTTTTTTGTTGTGCTTAAGTAATGTAACTGCTGAAATCCTTAACTTTTTTATAGAGGAAAAACGGCATCTTACAAGAAGGCTTAAATTTCTTGGATTTGCAGTTCAATCCAAGAACCCTGTTATCAGAAACTTGTATTTCATGCTTTTAAACATGAGTTTGTTGAAATCCCTCACTTCTCCATAGAGAAAAACAGCGTCTTATGTTACTGGTGGTTCAAAGTTGGTTAATGACTTACTTTTCTTTTTTTAGATCAGAATCCTTATCTATTGTTTACTGTACAAAACCCCCCCACCAGATGACGCCCTCTCATTGTCTAGGCTGCCTTCTGAGAGCCTGCATTTCTTCCCTCCTCCCAGAACAGAACCTACGTAAACCACGAAGAGGTTTGGGAGGTGCATCTATAAATTTATATATGTCTACTGTATAGCATGTTGCCCTTTACTCACTAGTCTTCAGCATCCTGCTTAAAGGGACTCTCCAGTGCCAGGAAAGCATTTGTTTCCCTGGCACGGCAGGACCCTACAGTGCCCCTCTCCCTACCATCCCGAGTTGCTGAAGGGTTTTTCACCCCTTCAGTGACAACGGAGTCCACGCTGATGTCCCTCGGCACTGAGTCAGGCTCCGCCTACTTTCCTCCTACGCTGACATCGGCGGTGGAGACCACATGCCCGACAATAGCTGCGCATTAGACCTCACCATAGGAAAGCATTATTCAATAGGGATTTTGGCAACGCTGGAGGTCCTCACGTAGCATAAGGACATAGAGCATCGTTTAAAACACTTTTCGTGTTCTAAGAACACGGAAGTCCCTCTAGTGGCTGTCTGATAGACAGCCACTAGAGAAGGACTTAACCCTGCAAGGTAATTATTGCAGTTTATAAAAAACTGCAATAATTACACTTGCAGGGTTAAGGGTGGTGGGAGTTGGCACCCAGATCACTCCAATGGGCAGAAGTGGTCTGGGTGCCTGGAGTGTCCTTTTAACCCCTTAAGGACCAAACTTCTGGAATAAAAGGGAATCATGACATGTCACATGTCCTTAAGGAGTTAAGGGAAAAAAAGCCTTTTTGCAGACAAATCAGAGGGAATTGCTCTAATGCTGAACCCACAAGGGGTAAGAGTCAGAAGTAACTTGAAATCCCAGGATCCAGTAGAGAGCTCTCAATGCTGTTGCAACTAAAACCACACAACTCATCAATTTCAAGCTAATTATGTGGGATGACATGCAGGTGAATTTGACACATTATGACAAATACTTGTAAATTTGTCAAGTAAATACAATAAAACTAGATACTAAGTATGACGAAGTGCCCTTCACCACTTGTGCCTGGAGAGGACTAATGGCTAGCCTCTTGCCCTGCGACTATGGCCCCTGGACTGTATTGCCCTTCAAAAGCTCTGTTTGGGCTTGTTGGACCTTAAACCCCATGGCGATTTGACTGTGTTCGTGGGATCTGAGCGCTGTTTGGATATATTGAGCGCTCAGATCCAAGTTATCTGTGGGGGTTCTGTTCAGTATGATCGGAATTATGTATTTTTACTGTTGTTGTGAATAGAGGGATTTTCTGTACCTGGAGATAATTGGCTTACCAAAACCAAGCCATGCTTGCAGTCGGTTAAAAAAGACTTCCAGCTAACTTTTGAACCACTGGACCAATTTGTATGAGTTTGACATATGTTTGTATTTGGAGTATGATTCTAAAAATGTAAGTTTTATGTGAATGTGATGTATACTTTTAGAGTTATGAATATTGAGTAAAACTGTGTATTTTCCTGCCTGTGATAATTATGTTAGCCCATTGTGTTCAGTAATTATATCACAGGCAGAGGGGAGGATTTTGCTGTAATGAATGGGAGTGTCAGACATTGTTGTATTGTTTTAATTGGTTTGTTTCCTTTGTATGCCTGTGTACCATCAGATCTAGGGGGTGTGCCTCTGGCCTGGAGGATTGTATAAATTGGGAGTGCTTGCTTCCATTAAACTGAACTACTTGACCCATTCTTGAAGCCTTGGCTCTTGCTTGGGGGATGGGATAACTACATTCTTGGGGATTGCTATATCTCAATACTCCCCTGAGTATATGCTTGTGTAAGAGCTTGTTCCTGGTTCCTGCTCTCTGGACAGTAAGTAAAATTTTTTATGTGGAATAGGTAAAAAAAAAGGACATTCCTATCCTAACGACTCTGAACACACATGCGTGTAACAGAGAAGTTTAATGCATGCGCATTTATGACAAATTTTGGAAAAAGTACCAAATGATGTTAGAGAGTCTCTAAATTAAAGCTAATGAAAGAATTGAAAACATTTACACATCAGCTGATAGTCCTCATATGGGTATTACAATAAAATACAAAACCAGATAGAAATAAATATAATGTATGTGTGTTACGTTTTCTCTCAGCAGCCCCACTAACAATGGGACCGGCACATTCTTTTAACATCCCTAATTCTAGAAATATAAAAAGTAGAAATGTGTCTATAATTACAAGTGTTCATAAAAAAAAAATCATAATATAGACTCTCCATAAAGGAGATGTGATAAAAGGCACATGATACATATTAATAAATGAATCTATGTGAAAATACAAGGATCAAACGTTATCGATCCAACAAGGTTAGTAAAAATACTATAGTGAAATGAACGTGAAATAACTACTATATAATCTAAGTTAGTGCCTAATAATCATCTCTAATAATAATTTTTTTTTAAATGTTAATAGCAATACATGGTTATCTGTTAATGGCAATACATATAGTGAATTTATAGGTTATCATATAGTTACTTTTTTTTCATTCAGATAAAATCTCACAAATTATAATTAGAGATTATTCTAGCGTTAGTGACCTAAATTTTGTTAAAGACAGGAGGCGAATATTTGCTTTACTTCCTTTACCATATCCTCCCAGCAGCAAATATATAGTTAACAGTTTGAACAAAAGAAACAACCAATCAGAACACATCTAGTCAGTGATATGTGACTGTGAGACTCCTCCCAATTCCTCTTTCTTGATGCAGCCGGAGTGATGTCAACCGTGTAAACTAGAACGAACAATCTTCGAATAACCGTAGTCAACCATGTAAACGAAATGGTAGTTGACAAAATACACAAATTGGTGGTTACTGTGAAAAGTGCGCTTGCAGATATAGTTGAGTGCAGAAAAGCAGCTACACACTCTAGTGGGTGCTCTCTTATCCCCACTAAATATAGTATTGAACCAGAGTGAATTTAGTAAAGTCTGGATATAACATCCAGACTATACTAATCAAGTTGGTGGAGCGCTAAAAATATACACTTACCCTAAAATAGGGTTGGAACTCAGATGTACATTTGATACATACAAGGGAAACAAAATAATAAAACACAATATGGTGTAAATCCACAAAGGATGATACAGTTAAGTGATGTCTTAAATAGCCAAACTCACATGGATTAGAGCCTCAGAGGGAAAAAAAGTAAGACAGCCTGCAATATGTACTAGAGAATAAGGTAGGTGCATTACCTTGAGCAGCGCGACCGTGGACAGAAGCAGAGCCACGTCCTCTGATCGATCCTCTGCTGGCAAACAGTTAACTGTGATAGGAACAGGTATGACCTGAGTTTCAAGGTTCAGTTGGTTGAGGCCTGTAGCCACTGAAGGCAGACCTGCTGGTTGCGGGCCTCTATGGCGACCGGCTCTGCTAGAAAAAACGATTTGAGCGAAACACCCTGGGGAGAGAGGTCTGAGCCTTGTTCAACGAGGTGAACACAGAGACGTGCCTGTTGAGATCGCATATGAACTGGTCACCAAAAAATAGGCCGTTAGCCTCCGGACCGAGTGCTTTAGAACTCAAATCTGCCAATTTAGCGTTTATTTTATATAGCGCAGCTTTCCGTCTTTCCATGGACATAGCCACATTAGCATTCCCCATGAGACATAGGGCTCTTTGCGTCCATTCACGTACCAAGTGTGGATCCAAGGTACCCTCAGCAATGGTTTTGTCTGCCAAAATAAAGATCTGGATAATAGGGCCAGCAATGTCCAATATATTGTCTTGGACCGTTTTGAGGCCCTGTTCCAGGCCGTTGCGGGGATCTTTACCTGATTTGCTGAGGAAGGTAATTAGGAGAGGGTCAAACTCGGGTGTCAGAGCAACCTTATCTGGTATCGTAGGGCGGGAGCATTCTGCCCATAGCTTGTTCCTAATTTCTTTCACCAGAGGTTTCCGGAGCCACATTCTGCAGAACTGGGCTGTATGATCCGTTGGTGCCCATTCAGTGGATCGGGGATGTTTGATGATCTAGGATCAAACAGGCATTGGCTGCTAGCATCCAGCAAAATCAGGGCCGGACTGGCCCACCGGGATACCGGGAAATTTCCTGGTGGGCCTGCAGCACCTGGGGCTGGGCTGACAGCCCTAATCAGTGATCAGGCTCCTGTAATCCCGGTCGGCTATGTGTGAGCTGTGTGGCCGCACAAGGCCCCAGGGGAGCAGGGGGAGCCAGGCGGCCGGCACAGCTCACACATGGCCGGCCGGGATCATAAAAAAAGAAATAAATAAAATTAATATTGCAGCAGGGGCGAAGCTAGCGTGCGGCGGAGGCGGAGCTTAGCGTGCGACGGGGGCCCTGGTAACTGCTGCATGGGAAGCAGGAAGGAGTCCCTGCTTCCCCAACAACCAGCCTCCAGGAGCTCCAAGGGATGTGGAGGTAAGAAGCAGGTTAGTGTGTCTGTGTGACTGTCTGTGTATGTGTGTGTGTATGACTGTCTGCCTGTGTGTGTATGTGTGTGTGTGTGTGAGACTGTCTGCCTGTGTGTGTGTGTGTGTGAGACTGTCTGCGTGTGTGACTGTGTGTGTGTGTGTGTGACTGTCTGCCCTGTGTGTGTGACTGTCTGCCTGTGTGTGTGACTGTGTGTGTGTGTGTGAGAGACCGTGTGTGTGTGTGTGTGTGACTGTCTGCCTGTGTGTGACCTGTGTGTGTGAGAGAGACTGTGTGTGTGTGTGTGTGTGTGACTGTCTGCCCTGTGTGTGTGTGTGGACTGTCTGCCTGTGTGTGTGACGTGTGTGTGTGTGTGTGAGAGACTGTGTGTGTGTGTGTGACTGTCTGCCTGTGTGTGTGTGACTGTGTGTGTGTGACTGTGTGTGTGTGTGTGTGTGACTGCCTTTGTGTGTGACTGTCTGCCTGTGTATGTGTGAGTGTGTGGCTGTCTGCCTGCCTGTGTGTGTGTGTGTGTGTGACTGTCTACCTCTGTGTGTGGCTGTCTGCCTGTGTGTGTGTGGCTGTCAGCCTGTGTGTGTGTGTGCGCCTGCTAGTGAGTGAGCTTGTATGTGTGTCAGTGATCTTGTCTGTAGGGATCATATGTGTGTGTGCGCGTGTTAGTGAGCTTGTTTGTAAGGAGCATGGGTGTGTCGGAGCCTGTCTGTGGTGAGAATGTGTGTGATCGTGAGCTTGTCTGTAGTGACCATATGTGTGTCAGTGAGCTTGTCTGTAGTGAGCGTGTGTGTGTCAGTGAGCTTGTCTGTAGTGAATCTGTGTGTTAGTGAGCTCTTCTGTAGGGAGCATGTGTGTGTCAATGGGCTTGTCTGTAGGGAGAGTCTGTGCACATCAGTGAGCTTGTCTGTAGTGAGCGTGTGTATCAGAGTTTGTATAATAATTATTAATGATACGCCTAACTTTTTTGACTCCCCGAGTAGTGGCATAGAAAAGGTATGTCACTGTTAAATTCCTTGTTATCTTGTTTATATTTTAGCAGTTCTGCTTTCTCCTTGAAGTGTGCCTCTTTAATGGGCCCTTCCAGGATTTCTTCCTAGTACCCCCAATCTCTAAAATCCTGAATTAGTTTTTTGTCTCTGTTCGATAAAGGTGCTCATTTCCATACAATTCCTCTTTATTCTAAACAGTTGACTTTTGGGTATATTACTTAGCCAAGGAAGGGTACACTTCAAGGATAGAGCAGGGAGTACAAGGGGTGCTGAGGACCCCAAATGAGGGGCATAGGTCCTGTGGGCCGACAAAGGTCGGCCCCAGGGGTTAAAAAACAGCAATGAAATATAGATAAATATAACAAATGGATTAAGTATAATAAATATAATTAAAAAGGGTACATCAAATATATGAATAGTAATGGATAAAATATACCTAGATATATATAAAAAAAAAAAACAAGGCCAGTGTAATCAGAATTGACTCACTTGGGAGGCAAGCAGCAAAGAAAGAGGAATTGGGAGGAGTCTCACAGCCACATATCACTGACTAGTTGTGTTCTTTTGTTCAAACTGTTAATTATTTCTTTGTTGCTAGGAGGATACAGTAAAGGAAGTAAAGCAAATACGAAGCCTCCTGTCTTATTAGGTATATTGCATTCAATTAAATAATTTCAAATTCATAACACTGGGTGAAATCCATTGAAAAACTACTGAATGACTATTAGGTTAAGTAGGCTGGGGAAATTGTACTGCATTCGCTTGTAATTGTGTCGAATGCTTATGGTCTTTTATAGACCACTCTGTATTTTGTTCATATGAAAATAATAGTAAAGCTATCTTAAACTACTGAACGACTCTTCCTATAAACATGCGAACACATAGCAGACCAAAAGTAAAAATATAATGTAATGAAGATCTATCTTATCTTTTTGTCTATATTATAATTGTAGTCATTGTCATAGTCATTGTCTATACAATCCATTTTTATATGTTAATAATAATTTATGATTTATTGATTATCTATTAAAATACTTTTCCAAACTGCCAAATGAATGTTAGTCTATTCTCGCATGATCATTTGGTAGTTTGTTTAGGATAGCTCGCAGATTTCACTGGTAGTAATACACGATTCACAATTATTTAGTCAAACTGATTTACAGCATCATTTATATTTAATT